AATGGCCTCACATTCTGGCATCTAGCCAAGATCAAGAGCACTCTGCTGTCATATTCAACTTACCCATTCAGTTCAAGCACATTTCTCCAATGCTATAAAAATAAAAATTTAATGCACAAAGTTCCATGAAAGATGGCAGAGTGAATTCATGCTTTCATAGCCTCCCTGCCTGAAACCTAATGAAATGAATAAAAAATAATTAGAGATAAAAACTGCCTGTATGCTTGGGAATTATCATAACCCCATACAATAAACCAAAGAATATCAGTCTGTTAAAAAAAAAACAAAAACAAAAACAAAAAAAAACCCTAAGTGGATCAAGCTGAGAGACTGATTATCATAGACATATCTTCAATTAAGAAGACTGTGTGGTATAAGAAATAAGAAAAGAAGTCCTGAATGGGGTCTACTAGGAATTATAGTTGAGGAGATGAGTTTGGAGAGTAAACACTTTATGGGAGAAATGAGAAAAGCAACCTGTGGAACTAATTCTACCACAGTGAAAGGGCAGGTGGATGGTAGAGATTGTTAATATATAGACATCCCAGGCAAGTCACATTATTTTGTTTGAGCTGATTTTCTTCCAAAAAGAAAAACCCATGGTAGATGGGAAACTCTACACTGTAGTTTCTGACACAAATAACATAAGCAAAGAGAAATATTTGCATGTCTACACAGATCTGAACTTTCACCTGAGTGTTCAACTCCCTATCAATCAAAAAAGTGTAAAAATAAGAGAAGCCTCCAGATCAGAGTAGTCAATAAACATAAAGAGAAATTGCTTGATAATAACATCTAACGGTATCCTCAGCTCCTTCTCTATATTACTCAATCAAATAAATGATTAAGAAGGTATACAAACCAGCAATTCGTATACCTAAAAGTTAATTCCTAAAGGACCAAGTGATACCTCTGAGAGAGGGAGCCAAGGGAGAAGGGACATGGTAAAATATCAAAAGCAATATTTTAAAAGACCACTCACAGCACTAACATTATTCTTGAGCAAAGAATGAGTTCTGATGGGTTTCTTCACTTAAAACGAATAAAGAGGATAAAGCAGGATGACACCAATGCCAACATTAAAAAAACTCAGCAGAAAAAAAAATGGGGAGGAAGAAAAGGAGAAGCATGTAAATGACAAGCTAATTACAGAGTAATTTCAGAACAAGTTATATAATAGTTGACACAACACATTTCACTATGCATTCAGGTATTGAATACTACCTGATCAGGGAAATACAAATCAAACTACAATGAGATATCACCTCACACCTATCAGAATGGCTAAAATCAACAAGACAAGAAACAACAGGTGTTGGTGAGGATGTGGAGAAAGGGGAACCCTCTTGCACTGTTGGTGGGAAGGCAAACTGGTGCAGCCACTCTGGAAAACAGTATGGAGGTTCCTCAAAAAGTTAAAAATAGAGCTACCCTATGTCCCAGCAATCACAATACTAGGTATTTACCCAAAGGATACAAAAATATTAATTCAAAGGGATACATGCACCCTGATGTTTAGAGCAGCATTATCTACCTCAGTAGCCAAATAATGGGGATAGCTCAAGTGTCCATCCTCTGATGAATGGATAAGGAAGATGTGGAATTATATGTATATACATTATATAATATATATAGAGAGAGAGTATATGTATATATTTATACTAAATATACATATTCCATGAGCACTCATATACACACTCTCTCTAAAGAAAAAGAGGAAAACAGAGAAAAAACCCTACTGAATCCCAAAAATGAAGACATATGCAAAATATACTTCCTGACTGTGTTATAAAATACTAAATATAAATAACAAAAATCGACAGAGAAATCAATTCCTCATAAGTTATAATTATAATAAATGCATTACAAACATATTTGAGAGATAAAAATGGCAAAAAAATCCTATAGACTAAATCAGACTAAATTATTTAATATATTTTTTGAAGTTGTTATAATCAGGGACACTTGGGTGTCTCAGTTGGTTAAGTGTCTGCCTTCAGCTCTGGTCATGATCCCAGGGTCCTGGGATCAAGCCCCATATTGGGCTCCTTGCTCAGCAGGGAGCCTGCTTCTCCGTCTGCCTGCCACTCCCTCTGCTTGTGTGCTCTCTCTGAGAAATGAATGAATAAAATCTTTAAAAATTAATAATAACAAAATTGCTACAATTAATAAAATGATATACTAATGTAAACATTTAGCAAAAAGCATATACTAGAAATTCATGATTGCATGCAGGTAGCAAAACTTAGGGAAAAAACTATTAAATATCCATTAATAGGGGGAACTAGTGATAGATCTCACAGATTCAATAAAGGATATGGTATGTAACATTTTAACACTCATGCAGCACATTCATATTTATTGGCCAGATAAAAGAACATAAAGGGAAAAGGCCCTTGTTAGGCACAGAAGAGCTTGGCTACTTATTCTGGATAAGAAGCCAGAAGAACTGGAAAATCACTATGTCATACACCTGAAACTAATTTAATGTTACATTTCAACTACATTTCAATTAAAAAAAAAAAAAAACCCACAGGAGAATTGGAATTACTCCCATCTATCCTAATCAGCAACGAATCCCTAGCCCCCAGCACAACAATGGAACCCAGATCTTCTTTAGTTTTCACATTTCTTTTGAGAAATTGATATAAACTACAGACCCTTTCTCTCCTGGAAATTTGAAACTCAACTATAGTGTTCTATGAACCCCTAATTAAGAACCCTTGATGTTGGCACATGACTGCATGAGTTCTTAAGTCAGTATTTATGGGCTTGAATCCCATCACTCTGTATAATGTTGTTCTGTTGTTCTAGTTTCCTCATCTGTGACATGGGGAGAGTTCACCTCATTGGTGATTATAAGTATTGTGTGAGTTAATGCACACAAAATGATGAGTAGCAAGAATATAATAAATGTTCAATGCATGTATGGAAATTTTAAGTAGCACAGTACCTGGTGCGTAGGACAAGGTAACAATAAGTATTTCTTAAAGAAACAAATAACTGTTTTTATCTATTTCTCAGGATTGTGAATATCAAATTGTTAGCATATCTTTGGAAACAATAATTTGAGTCAATGTAAGCATCAAAAAGGAAAATTAAAGAATTGATTATAACACATCAAAATGTAAATAATCTTTGAATCCATAGAGGAGGGGACTATATTTCCTTACATAAGAATGCCAGGTACCCTAAGTAGAAGTAATGACAGAATTTTTTTTTTAATCAACCTTTTATAATCCCCCTGGAGGCAAAAATAGGGCCTCCCAAATATGTCTAGATCCTAATCCGTGGAGTCCTTGAACATGTTACCTTACATGGCAAAAGAGACTTTACAGATGTAATTAAATTAAGAACCCACAGATAGTGAGATTTTCTGGTATTATCTGGATGAACACAGTCTGATCACATGAAAAAGCAGAGAACCTTTACTACCTGTGGTCACTGAGAGATGTGACTATGGGAAGAGGGTCAGAGAGACATAATGTAAAAAGGACTTAACCTGTTGTCACTAATTTTGCAGATGGAGCAAGAGGCTGATGAGCCAAGGAATGAGGGTAGCCCTTAGAAGGTGGAAAAAGTTGAGAAAACAGATTCTCCCCTAGAGCATCCAAAAAGTAATTCAGCCCTGCTAAGGAATACATGTTATTCCAGTGAGATCTGTGCTGACTTCTGACTTTCAGAACAGTAAGATAACAAATTTATGTTGTCTTAAGTCACTAAATTTGTGGTACTTTGTTATGGCAGAAACAAAAACTAATTCAACCTCTATATAATAATCTATTCAGCAAGGCTCACCTATGGATGCTAAAAGTTTTGGGCAAAATGTTGTTGAGTAATAGGATAGTTACATGTCACCCCCCCCCCCCATAATACTCACTAATACAAACAAAAGAATGCACCTTTACATGGGAAGAGAATGACATTTACTATCTTAATCAAGAGTTCAAACTTAGCATCTTTAATAAGGGGATATTCTTATAGCATGTGTCTCCTGATGAGATGCTCTATGGAGTTCACAACAGCCACATAAAGTATTCTTGCCAAATGTTTTACTGGATCTAATAACACCTATAGACCTAACTTCCTTATATTTATAAGACATGCAGAAAATATTTAAAAGGAATACAAATAAACAGTTACATCTAGAATGTGAGATATACTATGAAACAACTGGCCTTGAGTCTTCAAAAAGTCAATGTAATAGTAAAAAAAAAAAAAAAAAAAAAGGAGCCTGTTCTGAATTAAAAGGTAATACAGAGCTATGACAACCAAATGAAATGGGTGAACTCTGATTGGATGGGAGGGAGGAAGAAGAAAGGAAGGGAAGAAGAAAGAAGAGAAAGAAAGAAGGAAGGAAGGAAGAATAGCTACAGGATATTTTAGAGATACATCACCTATTAAAAATAAAATAATATACCCATGATTCCCATTAGCACCCCTTTTCCAATCATGAATAAATGCATTAGCTGAGGACTGTGGAAAGAGCATTGCTTTTGGAGTCGTGGAATGTTGTTTCCAGTCTTGATTATGTTTATGGATGATTTAAGGAAAGGCATTTACTCTATCTGACTGTCAGTTACCTTAACGGATTAGATTAGATGATGTCTATTGAAACTGAAACTTGTACATTCCTTGATGTTTCCTTCAGGAGAAACTTTGGGAAGCTTTTCTCTGATGCTCAGTTCTGGTGAATTTCAAAGGACAAATTTCCTGAGTTTTTTTTTTTTTTTTTAAACATTTTATTTATTTATTTGACAGAGAGAGAGAAGAGCAGGGGGAGCAGCAGAGGGAGAGGGAGAAACAGGCTCTCCGCAGAGCAGAGAGCCCGACATGGGACTCGATCCCAGGACCCTGAGATCATGACCTGAGCCGAAGGCAGACGCTTAACCGACTGAGCCACCCAAGCGCCCCCAAATTTCCTGAGTTTTATAAGGTTACTATTTCTGTGTAACAAAATAGCACAAATGGAACTGCTTCAGTCAACACAAATTTATTACCTCAGAGGTTCTGTAGGTCCTAAGTCTGGACATGCTGTGGCTCAGTTCTCTGCTCTGGGTCTCAGGAGCTAAAATCAAAATGTTGACTTGAGTTACAGTTCTCATCTCAGCTCAGGATTGTCTTGCAAGTTCACTGGTTGTTGGCAGACTTCATTTCCTCGCCAGTTTAGGAGTGAGGCCCTGTTATCCTTCTAGCAGTTGGCTAAGGTTAGCTTTCAGCTCCTCCACGCTGCCTGCAGTGCTTTACCGTGTGGCCACCAGAAGCAATTCACAACATGAATGTTTGCTTTCTTTCAGGACTCCTACAGCCCATCACTTCTACATCTTCTACCACCTGCCTGGAAGACGCTCTGCTTTGAAAGGAATTCTGTAGGCTCAGGCCTACTGAATTAACCTCTCTCCCATAAGGTCAACTGATAGGGAACTTAATTATATCTGCAAAATCCCTTCTAACCTATAACATATCCTAATTATGGGAGTAAAATTCATCATATTCAAAAAACGTGGGGATTATTCAGGGCATGTTCACCAGGAAACAGTGAATCCTGAGGTCCGTCTTAGAATTCTGCTAACTATATGGCTATCTCAAATCCATTACATAAGAAAATATAATGCATTCAGTTGTTGTAAGTATGTAGAAAGCATTTTGAAATAGACATAATTTTCTGTGGAAATCATTAAAATATTGAGTCAAACGTATTTCTTATTTTGAAGTAGTAAAAACTCAGCTTCTATAAAGACTTAAAACATAGGAATATCATAAGAGGAAATAAATTTAAAATTATGACAAATATGGATTAACACATCAGATCAATAAAGTAATTTATTTGGAGACCTTGCAAAAGTGTATTTTATCATATGTTATGAGCAATCGCAATGTTCTACCGGTGCAAAATGTTCAGATCAAAGAAAAAATAAACACATTTTTAAAGATTTTAGAAATTGTTAAGAACTCATGAATGTGAAAGATCAATAGAGGTGAACACATTCCATATGATTAAAAAACAATTTAAGCGATTACAGGGACTCTTATGATTTAAAGACATATCCTTAAAGTGTTTGGCGAGTATTTGAAATACTATAAGCAAATATAGCATTTGCTCAATTTAATATTAAGGAGGGGGTTCTATTTACAAATGCTAAGAGATGGGGGACAAACAAAATTAGATGCAAAAGGGCATGTGAAATTTATCCATTTAACCAAAAAATTGGAAAGCTACTGTGCCAAGTGCTAGGGATACTTAAAAAAAAAAAAAAAAAAAGGTTTTAGGAGGAAAGACAGACATTGGTCAAAAATTTTAATACTGAGTATTATTAATGATAAAGTTTGGTATGCTATCATAGCATATAACACTGGAACTTACTTGAATAAATGATCACTGCAATTGGAACCAGGAAAATTATATTTAAAAATAACTTTGTGTCCTCCTTTTGTAATTGTTTTTTACTCTACATTAGGTTCAATGGTGATAGTGAGGGGATAGAATCGTATGGAAACAAGCACTGTTCTTGATTTTAAAAATAGTGAAATGTTAAATGAGATGTGTCTGGGTCTCATTTTCAATGCTAGGTGAGAAGGATTGATAACACCTTCAAACACAGTGATCCCCTATTTAAAATTAAACACATTTTGGGGCACCTGGGTGGCTCAGTTGGTTGAGCATCTGCCTTTGCTCAGGCATGATCTCAGGGTCTTGGGGACGGAGCCCTACATCGGGATCTCTGCTCAGTGAGGAGCCTGCTTCTCCCTCTCCCTCTGCTGCTCCCCCCACTTGTGCTTTCTCTCGCCCTCTCCCCTGCTCTCTGTCAAATAAATAAATGATTTTTTTAATAAAATTAAATTAAACACATTTTTGAAATTTTCGTATTGGACTTTAAAAGGAAAAGACAGGGATTAAAGCAACTTTTAAACTAGCTTAAAACAACTGAGTTCAACAGTTATATAAAGCATAGATGCTCAGAGTTAAGGCACAGTTTAAAGGCTCTCCATTTTCTCAGAGAATCCCAAGTATCCTCCACCATGTGCTGGGATATCACCAATCAAGGCATACTCTGCATACGCTGAAGCAACCTCCTCTTTCTTTGGAAAACTCTTTTCTTTTCTTTTTAAGATTTATTTATTTATTTTGAGAGAGAGCGTGCACACACACACACACACACACGAATACGTGTGTGTGAGTGACTAGGGGGAAAGGCAGAGGGAGAGAGAGAGAATCTTGAGCAGGCTCCATGCTCAGGCCAGAGCCCAATGCAGGGCTCAATCCTAAGACCCTGAGATCAGGACCTGGGCTGAAATCAAGAGTTGGACACTTAATCAACTAAGCCACCCAGGCATCCTGAATATTTTTTAATTAGCCTTCCTCTACTTCAAATTCTTCTTCTTCCCTAAACTAAGTATCCTAATTGCTCTAACAGACATAATTGTTTTTGCTGTTAAATATTACCATGTTAGCTTTAGATCACTGTTTCAGCATACAGAAATCTTTTGAAACACAATTATAATTGAACATTTTCCCATTCTGTAAATTTGCTAAGAATATTTTTATAATATCATCCAATAAATCAATAGGAGTAAGACAAGAACAGGGTAGAGTCTGGGAGCACATCTTAGGCTACCTGCTTCGCAACTGAGATCAATTCAACTATTAGCTTGCTTCTAGGACACTGGAATTATTCCAACTTTTCCAAAAACGGAACTAATATTCAGCTTAATAAATATCTTATTGAAGTCTAGATGCAATATGCCTATTGAACTTCACTAATCTACTTGGATGGTAACACTTTCCATGAGCAAAATGAAGCTATTTGGATATGCTTTGTCGTTATTGTAGCACCTCAGTGCCCTTTGATTCTGAGATCAAATGTTGTTCTAAACCCCCCTACCAACAGCTATCACAGATCCTATCCCCTTTGAGCCTAACATCGATTTAATCACTTTTATCACAGGTTTGGATGTGCATCATGGCAGTGAAGTAGCAAAATACTGAAGAAAAAAAACAAAACAAAACTTGAGGTTATGGTTAGCTAATTGACAAGAAAGCAGATGAACTGTGTCCTTTGCAAAATTCATCCAGTAGCGTGTCTCTTTAGAAAGCAGCCCTGTGCAAGGCTGGGGTTTTCTGATGCATAAAGATGTGCTCTAAAAATGCCAGGGAGGTAGAACACTCATTGTGGTTGTCAATGGAATGTCCCGTTAGTAACCCCTGTGGAAAACACAAAGCTCCCAAGCACATTGAGTCATGAAGGTCACCCTGCATAAATCTGTCTACCTTCATGATCTGCTACTGCTAACTGCCACCAAATCAAGTTCAGTGTACACCCTATGCTGCTGAAATGGCAGACCGCATTGGATGAAATCCCAGCGATCACATTCTCATTTCTTGCTATTTATCTTTAAGGCAGTACAGTATCTATTCAGAAACATGCCCTTGAGCATTTGCATATCTGAAATGGCATTTGTTAATGTGCCTACAATTTGAGAGAAGCATTTATTATTGGGGCGTACACATTTCAAAGGAAAAATACTGGTTATAGCTCCTTCTATAGAGATATGACATAGTTAGCACATTCTTGGTCTCTTGCAACAATGACAAATTGAAATAGCTAGGTAAAGAATTGTAGTTCTTCTAAGCCCTGACAACTAAAGATGATAATTTTTATATCAAAATAATAATAGTTATAATATACTGTGGTATATATTTTACATTATTTCCCGGCTTAAAATTTCTTAGAAGCATTATTTATTTTTAAAACATAATTATAGGGAAGATACTAATTTTCCCATTTTATATATAATGAAACACATTCAGAAAGGCTAAGATATTTGTTCAAGTCACATTATGAGGAGCTGTATTTAAGATCTCCGAATGCAATGCCTTTTCAATTTGGTTCTCTGATTTTCAAGATTATAGATATATAATTTTTAATTAATCACACAATTATTTAAAAATAACCCAATCATTTATATGCTGTTGAATTGCATCCTTTCCTTGTCTGATATATTAATTTTATTTTACTTCTGCGATTATTAAATACATACAATCCATCTGTGAATATCATTTCCTACCACATTAATCTAGGCTCTAGTTTTATTCTATCACTTGAGGTATATTCTGTTATTTAAAAATCAATTATAATATAGTGTTTAAATCTTGATTGTCCAAACACATAATATTATAAATTAATACTATGTAAGTATTCAAATTGAATTCCTAAATAGTAAAGCCTGAAAAGCCAAATTCATGACATTAAGAAAAACACAAGTTAAAAAAAAATCCCAGAATGTTAACAGAAACACAAAAAGAATGTGAAAGTCAAGAGAGAGAGGAAAGGACAAAAAGAAATCTAATCTGTAAATGATGGATGCCTCCAAAAAAGGGAATACAACAAATCAAATAGAATGTTCAAAAACATAATGAAAATAAAACCACTGACTGAAAAAGGACCCGAATCTGCAGATCAGAAAGGCTTAATATTACATAATGATTAAGAAATGGGGTTTTGAGCTAGAGAATTGTGCTGAGTCCTGACTCATGTTGGCTTTGGGCAAGTTATTAAAGTCCTCAAAGCTTCGCTTTTCTAACATGTAAACATCAAGTTGTCCTGAGGATCAAATGAGGTATTTGTAAATGGCTTAGCCAAAGTTTTGGCATATTAAAAGTGTTTAATACATGTTTGTGCTCATCATTATGATGATGACAGTGATGATATTTAAATTATGATAGGCTTGCAGAAAATATTAATTTAAAATAATAAACATCTATTTTCTACTGAAATGTCTAATGTTGAAGAATTTTGCAAACATTCTGGCAGAAAAAAATAAAAATAAAAATAAAACACTGCATAATGGAAACTTTATTGGAAAGGAATTTTAGGTCTGAGAAATATTCCATATGTCTGTTCCTCTCTGAGAATCCAAAAAAAAAAAAAGTCATTTATATGAAATTTGACAAATTAAATTATGGTAAACATTTATTCAATAAATGGTATCTCAATTTGGAAAAATAAGAAATTTATTATATCTCAGTTTAGAAACATATGTAGAATTCCAAATAGATTCAAACCACAAAA